CTCAATAGGGCTGCTCAGTAAACATTTAACATTTGTTACTTTCTAACTCATTATCTGTTGACCTCAAGAATTGCATATAGTCATTAATGTCATTTAAAAAAATCTTGGACAAACATAGAGCTCTGATATTTAGATACCAGGTGGTCTCCTTCCTACCCTATGCAATGTTTGGACCCCAGCCTGATTTAGCCTAAATGATCTTCAGAATAGGGAGACTTTTAGTGTACTTGCCACATGGAGGGAATGAGACATTGTCCTCGACTAGTGTACCAACCAAAATCTATCTCCTTAGTATAACTTGTCTGAAAAAAAAAAATCAACACAGCATATTCTATTGATACACCATTTCTAAACATTATGCTTTTAAAAAGTAAAGATCAAATTTAAAATAACATATAATCTTCCCAACGACTTCATCCTGAGAAAAAGGAATAGATTGTTCTAAAACCTAGGCTGTACCTGGAGCATTTGCAGTCACTTCCATTATTACTTATGCTGGGAGAATAATTTGATGTCATGCCTGTTGAATGTCATTCTAAAACTTGGTTCATCCAGAGGAATAGACCAGAAGGCCAGGCACAGATGTCTGGCTTTCACCATAATTCCTACTTGAAACTACATTTCACTGATTATGCGAGTGCGTTGCTTAGCTAGAATGAGAAATAGTGTGAGAAGAGAGCCAAAAGGAACTGGCCTAAACTTTTCCAAAGACTTCAGGAACACTGGAAGCAGGTTACATGTACCAGTTTTATATCTGAGTCTCCAGATTAGAAGATTATGTTAGTAGAAACTTTGTAAAAATTGTAATAAATTTCCATGACCCACACAAGATAGAGGTGGTTAATTTTGGCCTCTCTTGCTTGTAGATGTTTACTACCCTTGATCGCTAAGGGAAACTAGAAGGAGAGCATGCAGTAGAGAAGACCTGCTCTGAGAGCATCTGCGTCCTCAGGGACAAGTGGATTGGAGGGGAGGACAGAGACAAGGGGGGAAAAAAAGAGGTGGAGACAGATGAGGGTTGCTGGTGAACAGTTGCAAAAAAGCTTACCATGAAAATATGATTACATTGCTTGGGGGAAAAGAACTGCATTAAGGGGAAGCTGAGGCAGAATTTGAAAAGAAAATACTATCTCCAGAGGAGATATTTGTCAGGGGTCATGTTGCACCCTGGGTCTAGGAGATTCAGCTTTATTTAATGATGTGAATAGGTCATTTCATAAATAGAAACTACCATATTATATTTGCAGGTAATGATGGGACATGAGTGATAATTCATTGGAACCTAAGTCTTGATCAGCATTTAGATTGATTTCAGAGTGTTGATGTGGAAAAGAATTGGACCCAAGGAATGTACATCTTCTGCATGTCATACACATCATTTGATATTACAAAGTGCAGATTATTTGGTGGGAATACAACGGGTATTTCAAGTGCAAATAATTCCTGTTTTCTTCTCTGAGTTTGGGGGTGGGGAGAACTTGAGTGATTGTGACATGGCCCTGGTTCTAGTACTAGAAATATCTAGTTCTCACCCACCTCACTGTTAGTCATATAGAGTAGCCAGTGAGCATGAGAGTACTGCTTTTCTCTAAGAAACTGAGAACTTTATGGATTGATGTTGATTTTTGTTTCTCTCTGAATTCAGAAGCTTCACAATAAGCACTAAATATCTTTAAAGTATAGACTTTAAAAAAAAAAACATTTTATTGTCCACAACTAATACATTTTATTTTGAGAAAATTTACTTAAAAAAAAAAAAAAAAGGCCTGTCACTCTAGATCCTTTTGACTAAGGGGGTAGGCATGCTTCCATAGAAGCAGGAAGTCTGTCCAAATTAAAACTGAAAACCATAGTTGACTAATTTTTTAATTTATTGCTTTGCTTGCAGTTGGTTTCTGCCATAGTGTATTCAGTGGCTTCAGCTAGAAAGTAAAACCCACAACATTCCACATTGGACCAGGTGAAAAGTTGAAGCATTTGGAATTTTCCTAGAAAAAGAAAAGACAAGTGTTAGGAAGCTCTCTAAGCTGGAAGGAGTTTACCATACTGAAGACAGAAACCAAAAGAACAGCAGTTGGGCTCTTCTGCTCATTGGCACTGGTGGAGGCATTTTAGGATGTAAAGAACAGAAACTGGAAATCAATATGGTCTGGAACAATCATGCATTTACCACATTTTAACGAGTACCCACTTTGTGCCAGACACTGAGGGTAAGGTGATGAATAAGCCCTCTGAGACTGGATATTCACCCAATAATAGATGTGAAAATGCCCAGAAGGAAACGTTAAGTATAAAGAAGGCTAAGTGGATTCAGAGAAAAAAATGGCATTTTTGGATAGATGTTTGTGGAAGGTTCATGATGTGAACCTGTCATACGCAGCCAACACACAGTCCCACTTGGTCTCACACTGACCTCTGATGTGGACTCTGAAGGTCTTGGTCTGGAGGCCATCTGCAGTAGGTGTAGAGGAAGATGTGGGCACAGGCCTAGGGCCATCTCACAAACTCTTTTGAAACGGGCAGTGACTGAATTACATTGCATTTGATTTTAGATCTTGGCCCTGAATTGAATAAGTAGCAGAAACTTGTGAAAGCATCTCGAATTCACAATAAATTTGCCCAAGAGACGACTGAGAATGGTCATGGCTCAAGTTATCATAATTAGTCTTTGGAGAAAATAACTTTTCTCATAAGTTATTTTTTCAAAGACAAAACAATTTTTTTATTGGCCAAAAAAAAAAAAAAAAGAGGCTCTTTAAAGAACAGGGATGTTGTAACATAAACTGACATAAGCCAGGAAACCTACAGTGGGAGCGGGTGCTGAATGTCACATTATCAACTCCAAACTTGAACTTGCCCCAAGGCATTAGGTTAATAATGTTGGAAAGATGGTGCTGTTTGAAATTTTTAAATTTAATCTTTAGTTATCTTTTTTTTCTTTTCTTTTTTGAGTCAGAGTCTCACTCTGTTATCCAGATTGGAGTGCAGTGGCACAATCATAGACTCACTGCAGTCTTGAACTCCTGAACTCAAACAGTCCTCCTGTGTCAGCTCCTGAGTAGCTTGGACTGCAGGGGTACGTTACCACACCTGGCTAATTTTTTACTTTCTTTTGTAGAGACGAGGTCTTGCTATGTTGCCTGGGTTGCTTTTGAACTCCTGGGCTCAATAGATTCTCCTGTCTCCACTCCCAAAGTGCTGGGAATACAGGCATGAGCTACCATGTCCTGCCTAATCTTTAATTATTATAGCACATTTTCCTTAGGGTTGAGTGGTCTTTACTTACAATGGACTGTCCATTAGGGAATGTAGATTCTATACTGCCTTTGTGCAAGACAATTGCTCTAGCTAATAATACCAACTTGTCCAGTTGGGGGGGGCGCTGATAATGTTACTATTAAATTGCACTTAGTGGCTATCATGTGTAGCACTGGTGTTCTGAAGAGAGCAGAGATATGGGTACTTCACAGCTCTGTTCTTAGGTTCAGCAAACCATAGGGATGGGGCAGGAGAAGCCCCAGGGTTGATCAGATTGTTGTCATGCCTCACGAAGGAGGCTGTGGATTTGAAACTGCATTCACTGAGAAGAAGACCCTTCCACATTTTAATAATCTCTTCTGTGCCTGATGGCCCCAGTGCTACAGGCCTTGCTACCCAAAGCTTAGTAGGAAAGCAGACCTTTGAAATCAGAATCTGTATTTTAACAGTATTCCCCAGATGATTGTAGGCACTTTCAGATCTAAGAAGTACTTCCCCTGGGATATTCTTAAGTCTGAGGCTGCTCTCTTGTACTCTCCTTTAAAAAAAATACACTCCTCCTCCTTCTTTCTCAGTCTGCCCTGCCTTTCCTGAACACCCTAAGTAAGTTCTCATTACTCTAATTTGCATTTTTTACTCCATTCTTTTTTCTCTCCCCATCTATGCTTTTAAAAATACTATTTATTGTAAGTTTTCCCTCTGCCTTACTCCCTTGTTTTTATTTTTTGCCATGTTCACATGTCATTGCCCTTTCTGACTCATATCCAGACCCATCCATAATAATTTATTGTCATGCCAACATGCCTAGGGCATTTACAGTTAAATGTAAATATTTGCATATACTCCTACTATTGTGTTCCTTTTTCTACCCTTTAAATTGTATACTCACAGACACATGTGAGTAACATTTCACTATCTAAAAGGTAGAAAGGATGATACAATGAATAACTGTGCTCAGAATAGGTGAGAGGTTAAAGACTCTCCTGAGTCATGTGATCTGTCCTGTACAGTCATTCTTTCCGTCTGCGTAGCCATACATTTGGTTATGTTCTCAAAATAGTTTATATGTTGACATGGAATTTGATCTGAACAACCTACCTAGGGAGACAAGGATTTTGTATCTTTGCTTAAGTGGAATCATTGAGAAGTAAAGTGACTTCCTCAAGGTCAGATAGCAAGCTGTTGCGGAGGACTGGGACTAGAAACTCAGTCTTGACTTTTCGTTCAGTGCTTTTCCTGTTAAGTAGTTTTCCCTCTGTCAGATGCTTAGTGGTCTCCAGGAGCCTCTCCTTCCTTGCCTGATAACAACGCAAAGTCCATTAAGCATGCCCGGCCCAGGGAGTCTCAAGCTAGTTGGGGAGAAAAGACTAGGAGCCTTTTCTGGTGGAAGAGGCCCTCTGGGCAGGGAGATGAATTCATCTGGATGTAAAACAAAATAGAAAATAAGTTCCACCAAAGAACAGCAAAGGTAATACAGTGTCAGAAGCCAGGAAGAATTCCTGTAGGAGCATATGCACAGAAGAGAGAGACCCTGGCAGCCTTTAAATCTTGACGTATTTGTGACCCTAGGCAAATATCCTAGCCATGGATTGATGACTGGGAGGGTAATGGAAATAATACCATCTAATTCACGGAGATATGAGAAGTAGCTGTCCCCTAAAATGTTAGGTGCTATGATGCTTTTTTAATTAATTAACTTTTCCATTTTTTTGTCTCTCCCTTTCTGTGTGTTCCTCTTTAGCATGAGCCGCACCGCCTACACTGTGGGAGCCCTGCTTCTTCTCTTGGGGACCCTGCTGCCTGCTGCTGAAGGGAAAAAGAAAGGGTCCCAAGGTGCCATCCCCCCACCAGACAAGGCCCAGCACAATGACTCAGAGCAGACTCAGTCGCCCCAGCAGCCTGGCTCCAGGAACCGGGGGCGGGGCCAAGGGCGGGGCACAGCCATGCCCGGGGAGGAGGTGCTGGAGTCCAGCCAGGAGGCCCTGCATGTGACCGAGCGCAAATACCTGAAGCGAGACTGGTGCAAAACCCAGCCGCTCAAGCAGACCATCCACGAGGAGGGCTGCAACAGCCGCACCATCATCAACCGCTTCTGCTACGGCCAGTGTAACTCCTTCTACATCCCCAGGCACATCCGGAAGGAGGAAGGCTCCTTTCAGTCCTGCTCCTTCTGCAAGCCCAAGAAATTCACCACCATGATGGTCACCCTCAACTGTCCCGAACTACAGCCACCTACCAAGAAGAAGAGGGTCACACGAGTGAAGCAGTGTCGTTGCATATCCATCGATTTGGATTAAGCCAAATCTGGGCACACCCCGCCTGTCCCAGGGATGCAGCCCCAGGCAGGCCCAGAGCCAGACCTAAAACAACCCCATTCTTACTTGGCTTAACCCTAGAGGCCGGAAGAACCACCAGCTGCCTCCCGCAGGAGCCTGCTTGTGCGTAGTTGTGTGCGTGAGTGTGCATGGGTGCCTGTAGGTGTTTTCAGACACCAGAGGAAACACAGCCTCTGCTAGAGGGCACTTCCAATTATGTAAACGTCACTGCTTTGACTGGGAAGGTACAGGAAGCCCACACCACCCTATCCACATCCAAAAGGGCGAGCCATGGACTGGTTTTACCTTTGTCATCCATGTGCCCTTCTTGGGGATCAGGATCTCCCATCAGAATGAATGTTAATGGAAGAGGCTACTCTGAGGGCCAGAGACCTGTTTTAGTGCTGCATTAAACTTGGAAAAGTTCTTTTAACTTGTGCTTGCTTCCTCCCTTCCTCCCTCCTGTCACAGTCTCGCCCTTCTGAGGCTCTCGGTGACTATGGCAGTCTAATCCCACATCTGCCAAGGTTAATTCACTTAATCACAGTGTAAACGTTTTTCACTTTGTGAAGACTCTCCAGACTCTGGGGGAGGCTGGTGTGGGCAAGGACAAGCCGAAGATCAGAGTGAGAAAGGGAGGGATGTTGAGGAGGTGAGGCCAGGTGCTGCCAGCAGGAGTCAGTAGAGAGATGTGCAGAGACTACAAGGCCGATTCCAAAACACAGTGAGACCCATGTGCTTCTGAGAAAGTTTATTCCTAGTATTTAACAGACTCCGAATGAGCAGGAGAAATGAGATTGCCAAAAAGGCCTTAACTTTGGCTGTCACTGTGATCTGCTGAAACTAGCTGTAACCCAACACCAAACTAAAACAAAAACACTGACCACTTCTATTTTTAGAAACAAGTACGTGAGCTGAACCAAACCAGCCCCAATTTTTTGTCCTCAGGTGGTCAGTAGATATCATTCAGAACCCTCTGCATAGGGTTAAGAAACAGACAAAAAACAGGCCGGGCGTGGTGGCTCAAGCCTATAATCCCAGCACTTTGGGAGGCCGAGGCGAGAGGATTGCCAGATACCACAGGTTTGCACCCAGCCTGGGCAACTTGGTGAACCCTCATCTCTATAATGCGTTTTTGTTGTTTTTTTTTTTTAAAAAGCCTGGTGTGGTAGTCTGCACCTGTGGTTTCTGCTACTTGGAAGACTGAGGTGGAAGGGTTGTCTGAGCCCAGCAGGTTGAGGCTGCAGTGGCCATGAGCATGCCACTGCACTACAGCCTGGGTGACAGAGTGAGACTCCGACTCCAAAAAAAAAAAAAGAAAGAAAGAAATAGATGATAACCTCATAGGCTGAAGGTCCTAATAACTTTTTTCCATGGTAAGGATCAGTTCTTTTTGAACTCATTTTTTCTGCATAATGCTTTTGAGAGCCACAGACCTTTGTTGGAAAGAATTTGCCTCTGCCGAGTGTGCCCAGTATTCTAAAATGAAAGAGTTTAGGGCTTGCTCTGTCTTAGCTAGAAGTGTATTTTGGACCTTTTTGTTGTAGCCACTGTTAGGAGATTGCTAGAGAAAAGAGGTGCATAAGGAAATAAAGGGGATTGCCTCTGGCTAAGGAACTCCTAATACCTGGAAGAGATGGAAGGGCTGTGACCTTGCCTTCTTCATTTGCTCTCAGAGAATGTTCCACTTAAAAAAGCAGAGCATTGGGGTATGTTAGCTGCTCATCTTCTACTGGGGGGACCTACATGATTTTGCAGTTGGATTCAGTACCTACCTGTAGGTGCCATTCTCTGATTAAACTTGGCCTTCTGGCAGTGTTTATTTGGGGTCTATCTCATGGCCAAAGTGCAGGGTTGGGTGAATTTTGGATCTGGCTAACTTGGCAAGCCTGAGGCTTTATATGTAAACCCCCATATGCTTTGTGTCTTCTCAGCCTCACTAGGCAAGTCATATTGCCCATCAAGGCTCCAGCATTCAAAGAAGCATTGCAACTAAGGAAGCTTTTTAAAAATTTTGTTTTGGTCCAGTACTCTCATATAACAACTAAACAGGAACCATTTTAAAGCAGAAATTATCTCGAACACCCACAATGTTAGGCTTAATTGTAAACCTTTGAACTCACTACTGATGATTCTACACCAGGCAAATTTGTGCAAACACATAGTCTGTGTGCTGTATACACTGTATGCCCGTGCCCTTAATCTTTGTATCATTCATATCCTCCAACAATGCAGCACAGAGTGGATTTAATTAAGCTCACAAATCCTAAAGCAGAATTTTGAGGGTGGAAGAGAGGAGGAGAAAGGGGAAGCTGAAACTGTAAAACCACACCAGAGAGGAAAAATGACATTCAGAACCAGCAAACACTGAATTTCTCTTGTTGTTTTAACTCTGCCACAAACATGCAATTTTGTTAAAAAGAGATGACTTAAGTTGGCAGCAGTGATCTTCTTTTAGGAGCTTGTACCACAGTCTTGCATGTAAGTCGGATTTGGCTCAAGTAAAGAGAATTTCCTCAGAATTAACTTTGCTGGGATAATCAGCAGCATAACTATCCTAAAAGCACATCACTAGCCAAAGAGGGAAATGCCTGCTTTTCTTAGTGTGCCTATATTAAGACTAGCACAAGTATGGTGTGTCTTCCAACATTTATTGAAAATGCCATATCTGTTACATATTTTATTGGAGTCACAGATGATGTAATGATATAGTTTTCATTAATATAGCAGAATTTTTTAATGGCAAGAGATTTGCAATCTTGATCTTACCTATTAAAATAATGCCAAGCATCAAATATGAATTTTATGATGAACACTTTGTGCTTGGCATTAAAAGAAAAAAAAATCCTGTAAGTTGTTTTTTGTTATTGTAGTTCTTCAAAGTTAAAAGTGTAAGTGAAGGCCAGGCACTGTGGCTCAGCCTGTAATCCCAGCACTTTGGGAAGCGAGGCGAGAGGATTGCCTGAGCCTAGGAGTTCGATACCAGCTTGGGCAACTTGGCAAGACTTCGTCTCTACAATAAATAACAAAAAAATAGGTGGGCGTGGTGGCGTGCGTCTGTAGTTCCAGCTACTTGGAAGGCTGAGGTGGAAGGATCGCCTGAGCCCAGCAGGTTGAGGCTGCGGTGGCTGTGAGCATGCCACTGCACCCCAGCCTGGTTGACAAAGAGTGAAACTCCAACTCAAAAAAGAAAAAAAAAAAGTGTAAGTGAAAAATCTAGAGGAAAGGATAATTTCCACTGTGTGGAATGTGAATAGTTGAACAAAAAATTATGGTTATTTAATGTAATTATTAATTCAAATCCTTTGGTCACTGTGATTTCACGCATGTTTTCTTTTTCTCCTTTATATGACTTCCTCTGAGTTGGGCAAAGAAGAATTTGGCATACTGTACATTGTTGGAGACTTTTATGAGGTTAGGGGGAAACAGACACATCTGAACATGCGTTACAGAGTCAAGACCTGAGCTTTTATTTTCTTAGTTGAATGTTCCTTAAAGGTTAACATTTCTGAAGCAATATTAAGAAAGACTTTAAATGTTATTTGGAAGACTTATGATGTGTGTATACAAACAGCAGATAATGATGAATAGTTCACAAAGTCCTTTTAAGGAGAAAATCTAAAATGAAGAGTGTATGTACAGAACATTTATAAGTGATGGGTTCGTGCTTAAGAGTGAAAGTAGTTCTATTGATTTGTCATTCCTCAAGTTATTTAATATCAACTGCGTTATGTATTCTGTCTGCTTTAATCATTTAAAAACAACAAAGGATAGCATAGACTATGAGGTACCTTGCTGTGTATGAAGATAAGAGGGGACTTGATAGTCTCATAAAAGCAAATTTAGCTTATGAATCTGTAACTAGAACTTATAATTTTCACTCCAATAATGTTCTATATATCCTTTGCCAAAGAGCAACCAATAAATTAAGCCTCTCCCCTTTGTGTGTGTGTATGTGTGTGTGTGTTTTAACTATTTGGGGGGCAGAATGGGGTAAGAATTTGCTTGTCTTGGAAAGGGAGGTGGAAAAAGAGGTGATTAGATCTCTTATGATCTTATTTTCTTTATTTGTTTGAGTTGGAGTCTCACTTTGTCACCCAGGCTACAGTGCAGTAGCACTCTCATGGCCACTGCAGCCTTGACCTAGGCTTAGGCAATCCTTTTGCCTCAGCCTTCCAAGTAGCTGGAACTACCAGCACATGCCACCACCCTCGGCTAATATTTTTTAATTGTAGAGACAAGGTCTCACCAAATTGGTCAAGCTGATCTCAAACTCCTGGGCTCAGGAAATTCACCTCTACCTCCCAGAGTGCTGGGATTATAGGCATGAGTTACCGCGCCTGGCCTCTTATGATCTTAAGGTTTGTTTTTTTTTCACCTGTCCTAGTAGACCTTTCAGATTCCACTTGATTTCAGTAGGACACCACAGCCATCACAGCTATATGCAAGGGACAGCTGGCCTGCAGTTCAAAGTACTAGTCTCTTATCCAGAGCTTAGCTAGAAAGACCTAGAGAGTGTTATGATAGAGGCCTTCAGACAGTGGAAGGCTCATAACATAGAAATGATAATAACTTTGTTTCAGGGTGTTCCCAGAGAAAGACTGGGGCTCACTAGATAGAAAAGCTTCCTAAGGAGAGTGAACTGCCTTTGAGATAGTGAACTCCTATCCTTGGAAGTCTTGAAACACAGTCTAAGTATCATTGGATAGAGATGTGAGGTAAAGTAAGTTATTGCCCTGGGTATGCAATTGACCAAGTGCACTTCTAGGGTCCTTTTCCACTTAGACATATGATACAAGATTTCTGTTAGGTATGGGTGCTCTGACAATAATAAAAATCCCAGTAACTGTAGGGAGTGCTTATGCTAGACACTGTGCTGAGGATTTTATTTGAGTTGTTCCTCACTTAATCCTCAGGGTAGCTCAGTGAAATAGGTACCATTATCACTGCTAGGAAGTAGTGAACTCACAGTGTTTCTGCATTACCTAGATTCTTAAACTACAAAATTGTGAACAACTTTTATGGGTTCTTTTAAGAACAGATTACAGTACTCTAAAAATACAGCTAACTTGACTGTTCACATCAAATAATTAAAGCTACCTTAAGGCTGTAGTAGGCACATCAGGAGCCCAAGCTCTGAAGCATTAAGTCAAAGCCTCTTTGCCGCCTCTCTTTTTATGGTCTCTTTGGACTTGAAGGGGGAAAATGGAAGCAAGTACTAAGGAGACAGTGTTCTCAGGAAAGCCATATCCAGGAGGTAACTCTGAACAAGGCTTGAAAGGTGAGTAGGACTTGACACAGAAGGTCATTTCAGGCTCACAAGAGTATGTGAGAAGATGTCAGAGGCAATGCTGAGTCAGAACTGCTGAAAAAGAACCTGGCAAAAATAGATGCAAACTTTTTATTTTTTATCCAAATTTTTAAATTCTGAAAATTAACAGAAGACCTGCAGC